TTTGTTTTGATGTTAATGAGTCTAAAACATAAAACGAAATAAAAAATGCAGAAGAAGAATCGGTATTGACCTGAACTATTGCATTCAATAGTTCCATATCTGTCAAAGCTTTTTTGTAAATGATCAATGGCCGAAATGCGTAGAATAATGGCTGTAGAAAAAGCCACAAAAATTTACGCCCTGTTGTCGTGAAAAACCGTCCCTCAAATTCGGTGGGTACATCAGTATCTAATGCTTCTTCGCCTGTATCAAAAAATACATATAAAATATATCTGTTTCCTAACATGTAAAATTTACTTCAACTAAATTTTTTTTTCAAATGTTTTTGCTAGAACATATTGTGTGAACAATTATAGACGGTTAGATGCACCTAAATATCGATGATGTTCCACATGATACTTTTTAAACGATACTGATATTGGTATACCAATTGGTAAATTTGCAAAAATACCAAATAATCGATTCTGCAAAAAAGAAAAAATTTTTATTGAATAATTAACTGTGATATAGGTATCAGAAAAAGTATTGAACAGTATTGCATAAAATTGGTTGTTCAAAAATTTCAATAACTTACTAAAAGAGAACAAAAATCAAAAAGAGCTAAAATTGTTAACCTTGACAAAGTGTATTTCTTAAAGAATAAAATTCAGATGAACAAAATGTAACTAAAAAGTTTAAATGATAAACATTGTATAATTTGGTGACCAAATAGTTATCCGACTAAGCTAAAAACTTACTGCTAATGGTCGACTATTACCATAAACAACATTATGTGATATATCATGAATAGCTAACGTCAATCCATGGTTAATTAGTCCACCAAAAAAGTACGCTTGTAGAACAACTAATGTCCAGTCGGAATCTGAACAAATAAGCAATAAAAAAATATGGAGTAAAAAATGAAAAAATTTCTGGAAATTACATAAATTGTTAATAGATGTCGTTTGTAGGTTATTTTTAGATTATCTCACTTATTGTCTACTAACAATTTATTCAGCTTAAAAATTTTTTTGATATTTGTCTCTTGGTCTGTTTTTATTTTCACTCATAATTTAAGCCAACAGAGTAATACAGCTGTATGATATTTGTTTACTGTCTACTAAAATTATATTTTAAAAAACAAATCAAATTTAGTGCTCAGTATAACGACTGCGAAAAAAAAAGCAAAGCACAAAAACATAAAAGAAATTTGCAAATTTTCTTCTTTTGCTTTCCTTCCTTTTTCTACGTCATAGCGTTTATTCATTTCTCAAGAAACTTGTCTAAAATATCAGCTGATGTATAATTTTGAAGAAACTTAATTGCTGCTTACTGCTTACAAATTATAATACTGGTAAAAAAAAAAGTTGTTGTACTAACCTTTCAATAAATAACAAGCAATAACCTGTAGAAGTACGTTGGCTGCAATAACATATTGAAAACTTGGATCTATACCGAAATACTGAAAACGATGAAAAACAATACGGAGAAAAAAAAAAGCTGAAACAAAAGTTAAAGTAATAAAAAAAAAAGAAAAAAATGTTAAAAAACTATAATTATCAGTCTATCAAAAAAAAAGAACATTTGAAAAGGTTTCGAGCAAAAATGATAAAATGTTGTGTGCTATTTATTTTTTTATCTTAATTTAAACTTAGTAAATAAGTGAATCCAAAATACTTGAATTTAAATTGTTAAAATTTACTCTTTTTTTTTGAATACTTATTTTAGCAGTCAATAATTTTTTCTTTTATTGTCAATTTTAAGTTGATAAAAAAAAAAAAAGCTTTAATTGTTACTGCAATGGCCATCATTATTAGGAGTATTATTGGTACTCTCAATATACGTCTTAATTAAATCTACAATTTAGTCATCCTTCCTGATAGCAGTAATAATTAAGATTAGAAAAAATAATAGTAATAATAATAAAACAATTAATTTTATTATCTTTTTTTTTTTTAAAAACTGCTTTTATTGGAAATAAAAATGGTGGGCGAAGTTGTTTCAATAATTTCAATGCAGTTTTAATACAATGAAAACTATAGGAACTTATTGGATGATGTTTAGCCATTCAATGTTCTTTGTAACTTTACTCTACACAGATGTTTGAACACCAATAGATTGGTGTTGTTGTTAGGAGATTCTATAGAAATTGGATAACTAAACATACCTTTTTGATTTCTGGATACTTCTTAACAATTTGTTCTCGACGACTCAAATGTGGTTGTTCGGTATAAACCCAAATGAAGTCATTCCGTGACACATGTTGGCCCATTCCCGTACTAAATATAAATACATATCTATAGAAAGGTATAGTTTAAAAAAAAAAAAAAAAAAAAGAAAGAAAACAAAATAATACATACGACAAACTATTCAGTTAATACAGCTGTTCATATTTTTAATGATTAACATCAACTGCCGTATAGTTATCCTTCTTTGGGTATTCACCGGCAATAGTTGCAATTGCAGTAGGAAACATCGACAACAGCAGTAAAAACAGAGCAAAAAAAACAAATAATGCAGATAAAAGTAGAAAAAAAAGAGAAGATAGTTTTTTTTTTTTTGAAGATTTTATATCTTTTCTTTATTACTTACTATCAGCATTTTTCAAAAAAGACAAACTTTTTCTTATCTTACTTTTTAAACTTCTTTATTGCTTTTATATATGTTATATGTAAAAATAAATTCTGGAATTGAAAAGATTGAAAAAAAAAAATCTAAGTGCACTGACTGAAATCGCTTTGCTTCTTCAATTTAGCATCAACTTTTTTTCCTTTTTTCCTTTTTTCATCGTTTTCCTTTTTTCACAATATTTTTCTTCTCCATTTCCTGTGGTCACCAAAAAATGGAGGAAAAATGGAAAAAAAACAATACTGGCATTTGTTACCCTGGTAACTTAGGCACCTTTTTTCAGCAACAACTAAAACTTTTTTCAACTTTAAAACACCGGAAGAAAATAGACTTTTAGTCATCTGTTATCTTCTTTTTTTGAGCCATTACTCCCCCCACTGCTGTCCTTTGCCCTCATTCCATTTTTGCACTTAAAACAGAAAAAAAATTTTTTTTTTCTTGTTAAGCATTTTAAACATTTTTTTTTTTTT